CAAAGCAAGACTAAAACCCAGAAGGAAGGCCAGGGCAAGTTGTGGCAAGATGTAAACTCTCAAGGGCTTGGGAGGTCCCAACTGTGATTTTTCTCAGCAAAATTGCACATTCCTGTTATCTCCAGCTTCCTAGGTCTCCACTGTACTTTAAGCATCACCTCAGCTTCAGACACTGTCCTCTCTGGGCAAATTGCCCAGCCTCCAAGCTCTTCTTCTGAAATTTGGGTGAAAGCCTCCCTGACTCCCCAGCTCTTGCCTCTTGCATATCTGTAAAACCAGCATTGCATGGATGTTGCCAAGATGTGCTACTAGCTCAATCAGTACTTGGGGCCTCTTGAATCATGACTGTTGAGGCCTCCAAGTGCCTGGGTGGCTGAATTCTGTGAACTAAATCCCAGGTATCCAGTTTCCTACATAGTCCTTGTAAAGCAGGATGCCCTGGGGCACTCTTCTCAAATGGGATTGTTTAATTTTTGTACCTTCAAGCCTGTGAAAGGTGGGGTCTTGCTGATTCCTCAGATGCCCTCAAGGCATCTTTCCTAATGTAAAGTACCTAACCTCTTTTAAATACTAATTTTTTTAGCAACCACACTGTCTAAAGTACCAACTTTGTGGGCTTGTCCTTTCTGGCAAAACTGAAAAATTTAAAAATCATTTCTCTCTGCTATTGCTCCTGATTCTCATTGTAAATTTTGCTAAAAACAGCAAGCAATATCCATGCTACAGGTTGTATTTTAGGGTGCCTTGAAATTTCCTCCACATGTTAATTAGTCTGCCGCACTAATCTCAGTTTGCCACAAAGTCTCAGGACATGGGCAAAAGGAGACAGATTCTCTGCCAGAGTGTAACACACATTCCTTCTGGTCCAGCTGCTAATACCTCCTGAGCCTGAACTTTGCTGTTCACCTTTCTGTCTGCATTCTGGTTTTCTGAACTCTGACCATAGTCTCCCATCAAGCTTGGCTTAAAGCATTCTAGGGCTTCTGTAGGTGGCATCTCCAAAGCTTTCAGAACTTCTTCTAAGAACCAGTTCTAAAAGTTTTTAAACCACATGATCAGGTATGGTCATGGCAAAGGCCCCACTCCTGGTACCAAAATCTGTCTTAGTCACTGTCCTGTCACTGAGACACAATAGGCAACACTTGCAACTTAAGGAAGAGAGAGGTTTATTTGGGGTTATCGTTGCAATTGGTTGGTTGACTCCAAGGCAGAAACAGCATAGAAGAAAGGTCTGGAAGAGGGAAGCTGCTCCTATTAGGAAACCAGGAAGCAGAATGAGGGAGGAGGGGCTGGAGAGGGAAATACTGTATACCCTGCCAGGCCACATCCCTGCATGCCCCACCTCTAACCAAGCCTTAATGGCAGATCAACCATGAATTCATCTGTGAACTAATCCGCTGTGTCCCCATGATCCAAGCACCTTCCAAACATATCAGGCTTTGAATCTAAACCATATCACCCTTCCTTGCTTTGGTGGTATCCAGTGAAGCTTTTCCTAATTGAGGTGCCTTGTAAATTTATGAAACCTAAGACATTGACCTTGATTTAATAATTATAGATTTTATCTGTGAATTCACTAATTGTCTGATCTTTTAAAAATACAAACATTGTCTATAGCATCTAATTTCTAAGATAATATGATGTGATATCAAAATGGAAGTTCCATATTTATAGAAATGGTGATAAGGATTTTTATGGTGGAATTATTTCATAAGGTAGGGATAGAAAGCAGATTTTTAAAACTCTCTTGGCAACCAGTTCTGTTTGTTTTAACCTTTGCTCTCAGGAAGAGCATCTCATTAACTCAGATAATTCTTCTGAAAACAAATAGAAATCTTGAGTGGAATTGTCATTAGAAAAATAGTTGAAAGAAATGGACTCAGACAGTGGTTGGGTAAAGGAGCTTTTTCTCTGCTCTCATTTCAATTGGATTCAAAGGGAGACATGAAGGAATAAGACAACCATGCTGGATTCTGATAATAATTTCTACTTATTGAGCATCTACTGTGTGCCAGCTACTATGCTTAAGATTAAATATAATCATATGTGAACCTTAAGACAACTCTCCAAGGCTCAGAGGGGTCAATCAATTAGCTAGTGGTCACATGTACAAGGTAGGCTGTCTACAAGGCCAGGAGGTTATAGAATAAAAATGGGAATCAGATGGCTCTGGTTGCATAGTTTTGAACTTTTAAAAGGCAGATATTTGAAATATGCTAATGTACAAATGATACATACTTAGTATAATAATCCAAATGATATTTCTGCAAATGGGATAAAATTAAAATCAAGACTCTTCTCTCCACAGTCATATCCTATAATATATTAATTATAGAAACTACTTCATTATATTGATATAAAAAGTATCAATTTGCTTATGCAAACATATGCAAATACAGATATACATTGTTTAAGGAATTGTGTCTTCTCTCTTTATTTAAGGAATTATGTTTTTCCCCAGGTCTGCTAAGCCAGGCTTGAAGTTGAGTGGCTCATAATTCTCTGATTGAAGATCCCTGTTCCATGCCAGTATTACCCTGGTTACTTTTAAAAGACCCAGGAAAGCAGATTTTTAAAACTCTCATGGCAACCAGTTTTGTTGGTTTTAACCTTTGCTCTCAGGAAGAGCATTTCATTAACTCAGATAATTCTTCTGCAGTTTAAGCCATTTCTGTCCTGCTCCCTGTATTGGATAAATGGAGAGCATCTGGCCACCAAATCAGGTGCAATTACCAATACACAGAGCTGAAAAAAGAAGTTAGTATAGGGAATATTAAAAATGTAGCCTCCGTGTGATAAAGAACAGACATTGAAAATGATTGAAATTTCCTTGAGTTTCTTTTCAAAGTGGTTAGAAGAAATGGAGAAACAAATGCATAATTACACAAATCAAAAGATTTTTAAAAGTTACAACTTCTACTTTTCTTACGTTGGGATTTTAAACCATCTTCTACAAATGCATAAGCAGAATCCATTTAAGTCTAAGGCAGTTTCCTGTTAGCATTTTTAAATCTATAACCACACTTGATTTCCAGGGAATACATAGCAGATACTAAATTCATTTCATTGTTATTACAAAGTATAACTTTTACTAAGAGCCTGCTGTATGTCAGACACTATACTGAATGTTTTATGTGTGCTATCATATAATCCTCAAATAAATTTATGAAGTGTGTATAATTGTAGCCGCATTTTGTAGCTTGGAAAGCTAACTCAGAGAAGTAAGTGCTTGGCGGAAGTTGCTTTCCAGGACCCTAACCCAGATCTGTCTAGTTGGAAGTTTGATCTTACTGGGCCCTACTACACTGGGGATTATGTGACTTCCGATGCAAAGGTTTTTTTCAGATTTATTGTTATATAATTGACAAAATGGTGTATCTGTTTTAAGCTTGAGGTTTTCATATATGTATACCTTATGAGATAGTCACAGGCTAATTAACATATCACCACACACAATTATTCTTTTCTTTTCCTTTTCTCCTTTAAGTATACGAAACAGTATTGGTCACATTGCTGTACATAAGGTCTCCAGAACTCACTCATCTTACATAACTGAAACTTTATACTTTTCGTACTCTTTGACTGATCTCTCCCCATTTCTTTCTCCCCTAACCCCCTAGCAAGGACCATTTTGCCCTCTGCATCTGAGTTTGATATTATAGACTGTAAGTATGAGTGAGATTATTCAGTTTTTGTATTTCTGCATCTGGCTTATTTTACTTAAGGTAGTATCCGCTGGGGTCATCAACATTGTTATAAATACAGGATTTCCTTTTTTATCTAGGTTGAATAATTTTCCTTTGTATGTATATCTGTGTATATATGTACACTTTATCCACAGTTTCTTTATCCTCACATCTGATGAATATCTATATTACTTCTTTATCTTGACTGTAAATAATGCTGCAGTGAACAAGAGTGTGCAGGTCTGTCTTTGGGATAATGATTTAGTTTCATTTCTATATAAATGATTCTTGCATTCTCTGTGAAGAATATGTTCCAATACTCCTTGTATATGCCTAATATTTAGTAATACTGGGCCCTCTATACTGTATTTTTTCTTATATGTACATGACTGTAATAAAGTTTAGTTTATGAATTTGTTACAGTAGATTAACAACTAATAATAAAGTAGAACAATTATGAAAACTTAATAAAAGCAGTATGAATGTGATCTCTCTTTCAGTAAATCTTTCTGTACCGTACTCACCCTTGTGTTGGTATGAGATGATAAGGTGTCAGTGTGATGGGATGAAGTGAGGTGAATTACAAAGGAATAATGACAGTAGGGTTAGGCTACTAAGTAACGTTTACTTGAACACAAGCATTTGTAACACCATATGGGTTGAGCTGATAACTTAAATGGCTACCAAGGGACGAATGGATATGGTAGAATATACAGCATGGATACACTGAAAAAGGATGATTCACATGCTGGGTGGGACAGAGTGGGCAGTGGTGAGGTTTTTATCATGCTGCTTACAACAGCACACAATTTAAACCTTATGCGTTGTTGATTTCTATAATTTCCCATTTAATATTTTTGCACTGTGGTTGGTATTGGTAATGGCAACAGCAGAAAGTGAAACTATGGATCAGAGTGTATGATATACACCCAAAAGTGGGATTGCTGGATCACAAAGGCAGAAATCAGGAAATTCAGTGCCACTTCTCATGCCCTGTTAACCAGGATATTTACGATTGCACGAAGTAGCAGCGGGACCTTGGGATGCAGAGAAAGAGTTCAGTGCGCCTAAACCCTCGTGCCTCAGAGGAGATTCTGAGTGAGGAACATGTCACCGTGGGCACTGTAACAGGGACTGTTTAGGTATCAGTCATTTGCAGTGGCTGTGTGAATGAATGCAGCCTTGTAGCAGCATTTCAGAAAGCAAATTCAATCTCTAATCTGTAAAACTCTTTCCCGGTCTTTCTAGGCCATTATCCTAACTCCTTGCTTTCTAAGTTCCGTAATTCTGTCTTTCTTTCTTCCCCCACCTCAGGCAATGTTCAGCCTCTGTATGGTGGAAAGTGGAGCTGATGAGGTGAATTTACATGGCGTGACCAGCCTTGGTTTAAAGCAGGCTCTGGAGTTTGCCTACACAGGACAGGTATGGCAAAAACTGTGACCTAAGAGGCTTTACATTTTAACTGTACCTAAGCAGAGACAATTATCCTGGACGTATGAGACCTAGTTATTTTTCTTATTACTCATTTTAGTGTTTAAGACATTTCACATCCACTTAATTTTACAACTAAAGTGGTGTAAAGGTAAGTAGAGCAATCTGATTTCTAAGAGGATCCAGTGAGCGTAGTGTTTTAATCTTAACTCCATGCTCTTTAGTGTAATTTTATACTATCCTAAAGGAAAGAGTTTGAGTGCTTGCTTGGATTCTCACTGTTGTCACTTAAACTCAGTCGCTCAACCCTGGCTTTGTCATCTTAAAAACAAGGCTGAATCAGGGCTGGGGATGTAGCTCAGTGTTATAGCACTTGCCTAGCATGTACTAGGTCCTGGGTTTTACCTTCACCTTGGCAAAACAATAAAACACAAATAAAAAAGAAAGGATAACATCAAAACGATTTTAAAGCCTCAAGAAACCACGCCTAGCATCTTGGCACCCTGTTCTCTTGCCCCAGAGTCGCTATCTAAAGCCTTTAGACTTGGAATGTGGTAGTTGGAAATCCTCATTTTTTTAAAAAACAAATTGTTAAAGGATTAACAAGAATCTCTAAAGGACACTCATTTAGGTTGGGTAACTACTGTAGTTAATTAAATCAGTCCAGGTTCAGACTGGATGTCTGTCTTTTTACAAAATGTCCTTTCATTCCATTTCATCTAACTTAGTTAAGTATCTTCTATGGTAAAATAACAACCTCTTCTCTTGACAGACTTACATACTGGTGAAATTGACAAACAAACCACAATTCCATGTCCTCACTGGGGTGGGGGTTATGACAGAAGCAGGGTACAAAACGCAGGGGAGAAAGGGAGGATGGTCCCCTGGGACCACCACTGCAAAGCATCGCACAGAGGATGGTATTTGAGTCATGAATATGTGCGAGTTCACTTTTTTGTGAATTTTCTCTGAAAGTTTGTGAAAATGTGTGTTATTGTCCCTTTTTTTTTTTCCTGGTGTTAGTAGAGTTTGAGGTACGTATAATAGAGCTGAATGAAAATAGCAAAAAAAAAAAAAAAAAGAGAGAGAGAGAGAGAGAGAGAGAGAGAAGCCATGGATCCCTAGAAGATACAAAGAGAAAGAGAAGGATGATAGACCACAAAGTACAGGATCAACCCGGCTAAATTTCTTGCCTTGGGATAGTAAGACTGGCAGTTCTGGTTCACAGATTTGCCAAACATTTTCTTTGTAGAATGAGTTGCCAAAAATTTTCCTAATGTATTTCCTAAATAATGTATTTTATGCCTTTTATTTGCAGACATAAAGATATGTAACATCTCTAGATTGTTCCTTATGCATATTTCTCTCTTAATAACTGAACAACTGTCATACCTGCATTTGCCCAGCTCTGAAATGAGATTGACAGCCCCCAGCTCATGCTCCACTAGTGTGCAATGGGAATGAAATAGAAAATATTCTTTTCTGATAAAACAACTTAAGTAGTTTCTGTTCTTAACTACATCAACAACTAAATGATTTAAGCTTAGAGACTATAGGTTGTTTGGCATATTTAAATTACTATTAAACACCTCACAAAATGGCTGAGAAGGCTGTGTGAAAGTACACATGTGGATACAAGAGGCTCCCTGCTAAATTATATTGATAGTTTTATGGTTTCCTTCAGAAAGTATCTATCTGTCTATCATCTATCTATCTATGTATTTATCTATTATCTATCTATCTATCTATCTATCCATCTATCTATCCTGGGTCATAAAGGATCTCCTAAATATGAACTGAAAATAGCAAAAGGGGAACTGACTTTCAGAAGAGTAAGAAAATTGCTTGGGAAGAGGGAAGGAGTTGGAGTTGGCAGGGCAGCCATAGCTCATTACCCAGCCTCCATTCTCAAATTTTACTTTGATGAGAAAAAGTAAGGGCGACACCGAGAGCTTCATTTATTCTGTCTAGAGACCAGAGACCATTGGTGACTGTGCGATCACAGAGATGTTGAGCTTGCAGCTGTTGAAATTGTGTCCCTGTGGGGCAGGAAGGGGGGATGACATTATATGGAGCACTTTCTAAAAAGCCGGGACACATTACTAAGCACCTGATGTGTGAGTTTAACCTTTAAAACGGCTCTGAGAAGTGTGGGGATCCTGTTTGAAAACGCCAAGGTCAGGGAGGTGCAGTGACTTAACTGAGGTTGCTCTCAGTGTATTTTTACCCAGTTAATGAACCCCAGCTCCCCTAATTTCAAGCCTACTGCCTTTTTTTGAATGTCTTATATAATTCAGAGAAGTTAAGTTGTATTTGTTATACTCTGTCAAAGGAGACACAGTGTTTGGAGATTTTGGACAGTGACTTTTTGATGGTTTTCTTACCCAAAAGCTGTGTGTTCCACCCTCAGTTTACAAGGGCTTGGAGTTGCTGAACTTGTACCCTTTCTTTGTAATCATGTTGCCAGATTATGCAGTCATTTTTGGACAACATCCAAGTTTAGTTTCTTAACGATCAAAATAACTTAATAATACATCTGTTTTCCCTTTGAGAGTGGGACATAGATGGTGGAAAAACAGTGCCCTTGTAATAGACTTGGGAAATGTGAGTAGCTGCTTTTTCTTATCATGGAGTTGAAATGAACATTAAAGAAGGTTTTAGATATGGAAGGATGAATAAAAGCACCATTTTTCAATACCATTATTATTACTTTCTACTGTGGACATGTATTGATAGATATTATGGTCTTTAGGCAGGATATATACATAGGTTTGTAAAAATGCAGAGTTAGCATTGATTTATCTACCTAAAGATATCTCTGCTGACAGTTGATTATATGTTCAGTCAGTTGTAGTAAGCATAGTATAAAATGTAAGTATTTTAAGGATCTGAAAAATCCCCGGTGTCTTGGAGAGAAGTTAGAAGGGTAGAGTGGGAGTGATGAATGAATACTGCTAAGTGTAGTGATGTATGCATGCTCGTCCTACACACAGCTTTAAAGTATAGCCTTGTTAAAAGTGCCCCAAAGATTTAATCTAGGGAAATTTAAAGAAAAGGTAGACGTTTCCCCTAATGCTAATGTGTCCTCTGAAGAAGCGTGCACTTTTCCTATCAAGGAGCCAACAACGGGGTTGCACAAACACAAATTCTGGCTTCTTGCTCATTGGAGACATGCTCATTAGGTGCACCCTGATCTTACCTTTGCTCGAGCAGAGCTCAGAATGCATCGCAGCCCTCGTGAGTGTCCTTGCACAGCCGTGAACAGTTGCGGTAATTATAGCAGAACCAGTGATAGAGGGAAAAAGAGCCAGGCTCTCCTTGTTCGGGTAGCTGGGTCAGAAGAAAATGGTGTGATGTAAACTCACTTGGCAGGTCTATGTCAGGGAGTAAGAAGTGAATCTAAGGAAGTAAACATCACTTACCCTAGAGGGCAGACACTCACGGATACCATGAGCTTCCTCACTTTCCTCAGTTCCCTGCTTTGACCAAGAATTCCTTATATTTCAGAGCAGCCCAGAATACAAGTAGAGACATGAGAAAGAAGAGCAGAAAAAACTCTGACAGAGGTGTTACCTGGGACACGAACTCTCAGTCTAGGCTAGAGAAGAGGTTAGCTACCCAGCAACAAGTGAATGTTGCTTTAGCCCAGCCAGACAATGAGAAACAGATAACAGAGACCTTTTTATAAAGAGAAGAGCCCTATTTGGAAGGTAGAAAGACTTGCAACCCCAAAGGCCTTGTTATAAATCTCTAGGAATTTCAAGTAGCTTAGTTCCAGAATGGAAGCAAATAGGACTGGGAAGTGTAGGACGGTTCGTTATTTAGGACTTTGGATATGATGATATGCCAAAATGTAGACTACACCATGCACTGTGATAAATACCTTACATAGGGTGGAGCAAGCTATAAACCTTCCTCTTACTTTGTGGAGAACTGTCCTCCTTTCCCTTGCCTTGGAGCCTGATGATAATATTCAATAAAAGGAGAAATGATGCATCAAATGATAGTGTCTTTTGTACTGTCCTTTAAAATTCCCCACTTCCAAATTCTATTAACTTTTTAACCATGAACCAGTTATTCAGCATCTGGAGAAGAAAGATTCTCTGGTATCTATGTTTCCTTTTCTCTCTCTCTCTCTCTTTTTTTTTTTTTAAGTATATCCAGCTCTTACCTTCTTAGCATCATAGAACAATCCATCTCTTGGAGATACACATCCCAGCTACCCTTCTGTGGTCCAGTGCATGCTTTTGTACATTTTCCTCAGTGAAATAGTGTATCATTGTCATTATTCATAATTTAAAGATTTTGGGGAATCTCGAAAAGGGTGATAGCCTGTTAAAAGTGAGAAACGAAATTCTCATATATTAAAGTTTTCCTTTCTGATTTTTATTTGGCTCCCTTCAAATTCATGTGGCATTTCTATATATAGCCCTGACAATATATATACTGCAGCATTACATTCTGATTGTGGAATTTCTTCTCTACAACACAATACTTTTCTCGGGAGACCTGAGTATCATCAGGTAGCAAAGTGATGAAAATCTTATTTAGAGCTATTTTCCTGTGGACCATCCTTTTAGGGATAAATATGTTACTTTATATGGAAAAAAACCTTTATCAGATTTACTTACAAACACCCTGGTTGAGTTCAATGCCAGCACATGGAACAAATCTGGAAGAAAGTTTTCTGAAATGCTTCTCTTGGGAGCAGCGGTAAGACTGCCCAGGGGTTTAAATATTTTAACTTCAGAGTCTTTTCTTCACCTACCAGTCCCTGCAGAAGCCTGGTGAGTAAAAGGCCCCCAGGCCACCTCCAGTCTGAAATTTTTCTATGGAGGAATATTTTTAATTTTACAGAAAATGATCATTTTCTCCTCAGTTTGGTTTCTTTCAGAGTTCCAGTGCATTTCATTTTGTAATTCATAATGTACATCTGAGATTTTTCCTTTGCCAGGGTAGATGATAGCTCCGTTTTGAAATATTTCTAAACA